GTCAGGTTATCCGCCCAGCCCACTGGAGCGTATAGAATCCCTTAATTCTGATGCAGCAAGCTGACTGCCCAAGCAGGATTTCCTAAGCAATCAATCTAGACTCCGCCAGACTCCTAGGCGCAGTTTATTAATTTGCCGCTATCTTTACTCGATGAACCTAATAAGGACAATTATGAGGTCAACCGGAGGTGACCCAACAGTCCTCCCAGCCAATCGGAAAGCCATCAGGGCATAGAGCTATTCCATTGGCTACCCCAATCTGCTCTCATGTACTGCCACGGACAGCTCGTCAAGACTGTCACACCAATCAGGTGGCGAAAAGCAACCGGAGCAGCAAAAACCCGTGAAGGGTGATGTGAGAGCTTGGTCCAGCAAGTCCCAAATTTACACGAAACTAGATTGGATTCTTGTTCGGCGAAGGCTTTGTCAGTAGGGAGTTTCAACTTCATACTTTTGGGTCTAAGGCTCTGTAGTTTGGTTTGACATTTAGTTCCTTTTTTCTAATAGGCAGATAACTTTCTAATTTTCATTTTATTCCTCCGATTAGTTTACAAGTTTTTTTCCTTTAGAATTATCATCACACGAGTGACGGCGGATATTTCGTTGGCAAAGCGTTCCCTTCTTAACAACCCGACACGCAGAGCAATCATGGACAAGGCATCTACCAGAAATCAATCTTTCGGTAACTACATATGCGCCTGTCTCTTGGGTCTCACTCTCTTTACGGCAGCTCAAAACAGCCATGGGGTCGTATAGATATGGTGGCAGCAAAAGTCCGCCAGTAGTCGTGAAAGCTGAACACACCTATATTATTAAAACTGCATGTAGTGAAGCGCAGAGTTTGGGCAAACGGACCTCCAGAAATATCCTCCCGAGCTCTCTTATTTAGTATTTGGCAGTTTACGAATCACGTCTTTATGGGGCAAGATATTGCTCTTGAACAAAAACGAAGAGATGCCAGTTCATTTTTAACCGATGAATGGGGAGAGGGATCTATTTGCAAAGAGGGGAGAATGCCCAGAAAGGCAGGAGGTTTTTTCTGTCGCACCATCTGGCATCCACTCGTTGCTCCTCCGTTTCCCATCTGCACCTAATTCCCACGCCAGAAAACTTGATGATGCGACTGGCCGCCTTCAACCGCCCACCAAAATGCAAGTCTGATCCAGGTAGGTCGCTTGCTTCGTCTTTCAGTTACGCAAGGACAAGGTTTTGCAGGCAACCATTCGCCCTGGACACCCACTGAAACTATCCTATGTCAAGAAGTTTTTATTTCGGTTTAATGCAATGCGTTTCCACGCGCCGACCCAACCACAACTGCGTGTGTGCCTGATTGGGCGTGTGTCTCTGCTGATCACTATCTACCTTGTACTTTCCGCCTTCCTGGACGTTCTGTTTTTTCAGTCGTTACAGTCCTTGCGAGAGTAGAACAGGGGGCTTTACTGTTGTAACTTCTATGTCCGGAAAGGCGGGGCTGAGACGCGTTTTAAATATCCATACTTGATGCCATTCGACAACGAGAAACAGTTGCCTCCACCTATTGAGCCTAGAATATGGGTCTATTAGGTTTAAAAATCAGTGCATCTAGCCTTCGCAAGACCACCTCAGCCATAAATCTAGAATCCCTGTTCGTGCCTTTTGTCTGCTTGTAGATGGTCCCATCAAACATGAACCACATTTTCGGGCAAAAATCGGGATTTTGAGGATTTAAATATGCCCGACGCGATTCTTCTCGTGATATTTGCTCTCCGAGTATAATTCGATTATCTCTACTGACTTATCCGAGGAAATAGAAATAAAGAAACAGACACTTGATAAAAACATATCTTAACTTCGTTTGACAGGAGAGTCCCTCCTCTAAGTGTCTCCGGGAGTTCTGTTTACGAAATACTCTTGTTGTTTGATTCAACAATGGGAATTTTGAGACACTGGAACAACCACTCCTTGAGTCAGTGTTTCTGGCTGGTATTGTGGGCGTGAAGAGCGTGACCTTGAGTAGGCGATACAATTTGATCAGGATTGGTTTTGAATTGACGCAATTTGCCGGACGATTTACAATATCGCATCCACGTTTTCAACTGCTAACACCGCTGACATCGTGCGTAGACTATTTTACGGGATTGGATTCAAAAATAGTAGAGTTGGCGATCCGCTAAAAAGTTGTTTGTCTTTCCAAATATATTCGACGCTGTGCGGTGTGACCGTGTAACGCTCCCTGTTCCTTCAGTACAAGTTATGTACCGATTTGTTATTTCGAATGACGTTCGAGTGGGCGGCTTGCGAAACCTCGGCACTAGCGCTGCGTGGCTTATCGTCCTCGTTTTGCGGGATTTTACAGTGATCCTCTGTTGTAGCAGTTTTTTTGCCTACGATTTCAAAACACATGGCCTTCTGCAAAGAAGCAGAAGAAGGCACGATCACTGGGACAGCACTTTTGCTTTTCTGAGCTTTCGGTCTCGTACAGGAAGCCATCTCCAGAGACAATGAGAGTACAGTAAGAATTGACGTGTTTTGTATTCCAGCTACGAGAAAATAGGAAGTGGCATTTGTGATGGGTTGAGTCCATGCTCACGTCGTCTCATGTCGTCGGCTCGGCGTGCGTGCTTGGCTTCGCAGCGTGTGTCATGAAACAGGAACTGGCCGCGCAAACGAAGAGCGTGATAGTAGGGCGGTATATCAAAGTGTCTGTTGATGGAGTTGGGATCGGGTCCGCAGGCCTTCGGTAGTTTTCGCCCCGTCTTATTACTGATTCGTGCCATT